TTTTCATTATTGAAAAATAAAATTTAGCAGTTTATTTAAAAATATTGAGTTGGGTTTATACTTCCAAATGCAAGCTCTGTTCAACTTTAGAAAATTTATTGACACATTTATTATGTCCACTGATCAAAAGTGAAAGGCCATATAAACATTTCAGTAGATACAGAAAAGATTTAGCAAATATATCATGTACTCGTGACACCTAGAAACAGGAGAATAGCCTTTTAGTGCTTTTGGGTTTTTTTGTTGTTGTTATTTATTGTGTGTTGGGGGGGGGGTTTGTTTTGTTTTGTTTTGTTTTTTGTTTTTGCAGTGCTGGGGATAGAACACAGGGCCTCATGCATGCTACGGAGGCACTCTACCATTAAGCTACATTCCCAGTCTTTTTTATTTTGTGACTGGGCAGGTTGCCCGGGGTTGACTTTGAACTTGGGGTCCTTCTGCCTCAGCTTCCCAAGTACCTGGACTCATAGGTATGCAGCACTGTGTTCAACCAGTTCTTTTGTTTTTAAAAACTAGCATTCACTCATTTAATACTTTTTGTAAAAAAATTTTTTAGTTAATTTTTTCAGTTGTTATTTTATTTATTTATATGTGGTGCTGAGAATCGAACCTAGTGCCTCACGCATGGTAGGCAAGCTCTCTACCACTGAGTTACAACCCCAGCCCTCATTTAGTACTTTTTAAAACTAAAAATACTTGACATTTTAAGAACAGAAATTTTTGCTAATTCTCCTGGCCTTCTAGTTACCTTCCTGCCCGACCCCGCCTTTAAACTATGGAAAACCTCAAATGTGGGACTTTACTACATTAGTAGAGGCCTCGCTTCTTCAGATCACCCTCCCATAAGCATTCATAGAATAAAATACTGTAGTTGCTTTCTTAATGATCACCAATGCCTGGGCCTTTCTTGTTAAAACCATTGGCAATTTAGTCTTTCTTCCTTGGTACATTTGCTGTTCTTGTTCCTAATTATATAGCCATGGTTCATGGAACGCTAATACTTTGTGTTTTCTGTAGTGTATTTTGTTGAAAGAGTTCCTGTGAAAGTTGTAGGGAAATTAGAAGGCATTCTGTCTGTGGGGAAATTATGTCATAAATAAGATTTATTACAACCTATCAAAATGATGACCTTTCCCTGTGATGTGCACGCGCACATGCAGGCACTGCTGGAGATAAAATCAGGGCCTCGTGCATACTGGGCAACCACTCTATCACTGAGCCAAACTCCCACCCCTGTGTTGTAACTCCTGGAAAAGAGATCTAGTAAGGCTGTACTTTACTTGGGGTTAGGGAGATAGCAGAATATAGTAAAACGACAACTGAGACTTAGAAAACAGAGATGAGTCTTGACTCCACCCTGTATTAGCATATGACTTTGAACAAGTCACTTTTCTGCGCTTTCGTTTCTTCACCTATAAAAGGGAGATTTTTTTTAACCTATCATAAAAAATGAGTAGCTAAATTAGAAAACATTAAAAAGGCCCTGTATAGTCACTGCAACATTTTAATCACTCAGGTTTGTTTTCATTCCTAGGTTCCTAGGACCAGTGAGTGGGAATTATAGGGAAGTAGATTTTGGATTAATGAGGAGAGAATTTTCTAAAATTGGCCTGCGTAATTGTTGAACAGGGTGCAGTCAACACAGATAAAACTGTCATTGCTTGTTGAGGAAATTCATTCCTAGACCTACAAATAAATGATTTTTATTGATCACTGGAAGATGAATTCAAAAATTGATGCATGCTTTACAACGACAACAGTTGAAGAATTATGTGGAGAATACCACCTTAATCTTAATATGTGTATTTTACCTAATTTAAATATTGTATCCCCCCATTCTATGTATTAAAATTAACTTCTAAGATATAGTTTTTGTACAGCAAAGTTCACACATTTTTATTGTATAGGTGATTGACTTGAAAGATGTATACCCTCATGTAACTGCATTCCTGAAATCCAGTAAAGTTAACAAACATTTCCTTCTTCCTAGAAAGTTCCCTCAGAGGGATGGATTCTTATAGCTACCTCAAGGGCTTTGTACATGTGGTACAAGGTATAAGTAAATAAAAATAATCAAGTTCTAATCAAAAGGGAGTCTTAATTTTTATAAAGCAATAAGGCAGATTTACAGAACCTAACAGATTTAAGGTTTCTTGCCACTGACCTTTAAGGGGTAAACAATTGCTGACAGGAAAGTTGTCTTTGTAGAGCATAAGTCAAATATGATGGACCCCTTTAGGTCTATCCTGCCAATTCTTACTGCTGGGATTACAGGTGTACATCACCATGCCTAGCCCTTTATTCCTTTTGATAGGTAGTATAAGTGTTATAATTAAATGTCTTAATCTCTACTGGCATTTAAATTCTGGAAGCAGATGTATTTGAGAACAACTGCTGCATTGATATATGTATTTTTCCACTTGATTTCCTCAGGTAGGAGATGTGGGGAAAGCATGGTTAATTGGCTCTGGGAACAGTGTTGAAGAACTGGATTTTGTTTCCTATGCTTAAAATATCAGCTGCTATTGTATCTGCTTGAGAGGAAATGTGGCACGCCTTTTAAGTACCAAGAAGAATATTTGTGGCCAGGAAAACAGTTGCTAATCTCCTCAAAAAGTCTGTAAAATAAGGTTTGAGAAAGGAGAAAACATTCCAGATAGAGAACATCCCACAGAGTCAAATTACTGTGGCGCAGAAGTTCAGAAAAGGACCTGTCTATAATTCACAGAACAGGAAGATTAAATGCTGAAGTGACGTCTTGACACAGAGGGCTAGACAGTCTTTTGGACACCACTGAGAATTAGTGAGGTCCTTTGTGTGCTTACTAGGAACTTTGTACTAAGTAGTGGTCCTTACCTAATCTTTATTTTTAAAACCATGAAATAGACATTTATGGTTATTAATCCCCAGTTTTGATAGGAGGAAACTGAGGCTGAAGAAGGTTAAGTACTTAGAGGTAACAATCAGCTTTGGCTCTTGAGTTCTTCGTTTGACCTAGTTGCCTTCACTGCTTTACTCTGCCCCAGTCACAGGTGGAGGCTGCCGCAGTCCTGGGCTGCCCCGGGATTGGGGCATGAATGAGTTTGTGCACTCTTACTGTCTCCCTCTCCCAGATCCCAGGAGTGAGTCACAGTACATTGCCATAAGTCTGTGTTACTATCCATTAGCCACATGACAGATCCACTCATAACAAAATGACAAGGAATCTAGCAAGTTTTCCTGCTCTTCTTTCAACTTTTAGCTGCTGTTAGCAGCCACATGGCCAACTTCACTAAGCGTCATCTGTGGTGCATAATGCTACCCGTCTCCTCTCTCACTATTTATATTTCCTTTTAGTTTCTTCCATCAGAAAAGCCAACTTAATTTTGTTTGTGCTCGTTGCACGGCACCTGTAGCACCTCTTGCCGTTTCTTACGTACTTGCCTCTTTCTGATTTTATCTTCTGTTACACCCCCACTACCTTGTGCGTCCCAGCCTTGATGATGATTTTCATACCTCCAGGTGCCTAGTTCACATCCCGAACCTTTCTCATTGTCTGCCTGATATTTGTAGTGTCCCTTCTGGAAAGCTTCCTTAGAATGGAGTTAAGTGGTGTGTATGTATGGGGGCAGAGCCGAGTGATATGGTTTTCTTCAAGTGTCTGGTGATTTTTGATTGTTGGTATTATGAATGGACTTCTTAGGTTCAAGAATTCAGGACAATTAATGTAGGTATCTGAAGTGAATTTCCTCTGCCTTTACATGGATTTCTTTTTTGTTGTTGTTTGTTTAATTTTTGAGACAGGGCCTCACTAAATTGCTGAGGCTGGCCTTGAAATTGGGATCCTCCAGTCTCAGCCTCCCATGGAGATTTCTTTACCCAGTGGATTCCTACCTTGAATGAGAGGGTTAATGCCAAGCGAGCGCTGTGTGTGTGAAGAGTGCTGATTGGCAGGCTTCGGTTTGGGTGTCATGGAGCAGGTAGCAGTATCCTCCAATAAGAGGGCTTTGTTTTGAGACAACCAAACCCATTGCAGGAGCCCACCAGCCTCCAGGGGAATGTATTCTTCAGAGGGTTTCGTTGGCTGGATTTAAAAATGTTGCTACCTGTAGCCGTGGGGGCACAGGGGTCAGCAGTGGGGAGCGGGGGCATAGCCATGGCCTTTCTATTTCTTATGTGATCTTTTTGCCCCATCCCTCTTCTGATCTTGGAGCCTGTCTAGAGCTCCACCAAAAAGGGGGCAGGTTCATCTAAGACTTCTCGTGGGTTTGTCCTCGGATGTGGTTTTCTTTGCTCTTGTTCAGTCACCAGTTCTGAATAGGGTGATGACTTCTCCCCCTGAATCTCAGTGAGGTAAAGGAGGACACTAACACGTTTGCCCAGTCTGTCATTTTGAAATCCTGAATGGAAGATTCTGTTCACAACTTTGAAGATTTGAATTCAGAAATTTAAACAAACATATAAAGAGTCCATATTGATTATTTTCCAAGAATTGATAGAATAGTTTAAAATGTTTGTAGATTACAAAATTATTGTAATGCTGAAATACGTGTCACCTGTTTGTGAATTATATATACTCTAAAGTATTTATAAAGATGTTTAGAGCAAGGAAAGCCAAAGCTATTCCCAGATACCACGGCAGGAGAGGTCCCAGGTATCTCCATTAACTATTGATTGATGACCGGGGCCAGTAGCAAGGTAACTTACCTGATGTTGTTTACAATCTAGAATTGGAGGAAATTGCTTCTTTCCCAGTGGAAAATTTGCTAATTTTAGATTGTGTTCCATGATGTAACATTATGATAAAAACTCTTGATTATGGAAAAAGGCTCTGTTATTAATTAAAGAAATGTGAATTGTACCTTATAGTTAGATTTAGGTGTTTTATTTCAGTGGATGATAAGAGAAAAAGAAAAATTTGCCATGCCTTTATTTCTAATAAGTGAAAATGAACCTGTATGCAACATTATTTTTATTTCTTAATATATTTTGGGAAAGTTAATTGCAACTGTGTGGTTCAGGGATTTAGTGCAAGAAGAAGAACAGTTGATGGAAGAAAAGAAAAAGAAAAAAGACGACAAGAAAAAGAAGGAAGCTGCTCAAAAGAAGGTAGTGTGTACACACTTCATGTTAAGCAGTTTATAGACGAAAAAGAAATCGATCTGATCTTTAAAAAGCATTTGATTTAATGTTTTAACTTCAATGAGATTAATCTTAATATTTAATGTCTTTGAATATGCATATAAAGTAGTTTGCTGAGTATGCAATTTAACGCATAGTTATTTTATCTTGCCAATAGGTTTTTAAAGGTAAGTATATTACATAGGTCTTTATATTTAGCTGTTTCTAGATATTTTTTAATACATAGTTTTATAAGTGGGAAGAGCATAGAGTTTTGTACCCATATAGAGAGAATTCAAAACTTCACTTTCCCACCTAGCACATGGATGGTGTGGCCTTAACTTTTATTTAACCTCTCTGGGCCTTAGTTTCCGTATGTTTTATAAAATAAGATTTGAATTTAATGAGATCATGGTGTATACACATAGTAGGAAATAAAGTAATACAAGAATACAGTACTTAAGGAAACAGACATAATAGGGAATGAAGTGTTGGTTTTTCTTTTGTATTTGGTACTTCAGCAGATTTTTTAAATTTGCAGTTTATATTAAGATACTTTAAAATAAGCCTAAAACATTATTTATTGCAAAAGAACTGTAGCCAGTAAAATCTAAGAAAATTATAACCAAAACAATAAAAGTTCAGGCAGAAATAAAAGACTATGTCTTTAATTATAAAATTATTTACAAGTTATTAATACTAATGGCTGATGATAGTTAATTAAATTCACGTATCTACCATATCAAGGTTCCAAATACTTTAGAAGATCCAGTGAAATTACTGTTCCATTTCTCTATTTTAATGAAAAATGATTTCTTTAATTTATAATATAAACCTCTTCCATGCTGGAAACTGAGTAGATACTGTAGCAACATACTCATTTCCACATTATTTAATAAAGGAAAAGCACAGGGTACAAGACTGTGGTAGACGAGGTGTTTATTTATGGGAAACTGTTGATTCACAGAGAGGTGGGTGTCTGACACCTGAAATGGGGCAAAGGGGTGGGAAAGTTTCGTAGAATAGAAATTAGTCTAGTGAATAAGGAGTGGAATAGTAAGGGCCCTGAGCAGAGTAGACCAGAAGGGTCTGTAGCCACGTGTCACAGTGAAACAGACTGGATTTGGGGGTCCTTCTAAAATGGAGAGCAACTTCCTCGTGCTGAGCGTAAAGCTCCAGGGCGGCGCCCCAGCCCCGCTACTGCCCACCACAGGCCTGTTGAGAGTGGAGACTGCTCCTTCCACTTGGGTGGCATCTTTCCTTTCAACCCAGGAACCTGGTATAGTTCTTCTGAAATGATTCCCTCCCTTAGTAGATAAATCTGTTGCTGCAGTCATCAGAATTTTTGCCTGATAAGACAATGTCAGTCAGGGTAGCAAACATGTAGAACAGTTGTCTTAAAGTAGCAGGCACTTTTAGATATATAGACTACGTTGTGATCTTTTTCCAAAACAAAACCAATATTAATTATTGGGGAGTTTTTCCATTCTCTAAAATGCACGGTACAGACTGGTACCCCCAAAGCAAATGGTGGCTTAGTCAAGCCCTAGATGGCTCACTCAAGCCCTAGATGGTGCCTAGATAGAGCTTGTTATCTCACACTGCCCAATACCACAAAAGGGTACTCAAGTCCAAAACCTCAAACAACAGAGATAAAATCTTCAGTGTGCACCTGCATAGACACCAACATGGCCCATCCGCCACACTCTAACCTTATTTCCTGACCAGTGAAGGATTTTATGCAGACAAGGCTTCAGTAGGAAGGATTGGGATAAGTTCTCTAGGATGTATTTATTTCCTGCAGCTGCTTGGAATTTTTTCCCTGAAATTTCAACTGCGTGTTTGACTAGTGGCAAGCATTTGAATCCTGAGCCTTATCTTCCTGAGAGATCACCGCCAACTTGAGATATGTTGCTTCAGGGCAAGATATTTGCTCCTGGTTGGAACTTGCCAAAACTGTTGGGGGTGAGACCAGGGAGAGTCACTAATACTGACATAGGAAGAGGTAGGGTATACTGCTTATTGCGATAGAAATATTCAGAGTCAAATTGATAGGAAAACAGGCTCTATTCAAAGCCTGCTTTGAAGAAAGATAGAAGGAACTTTTCATTTCAAAAATTCTATCTTTGGAAGCTCTGAGGGGAACAAAGATTTTAAAGAGAAGTGGCAAAGTGAAACAGAAGATACGAAATAGATCTATGCTGGTTTAGTTAGCCTGTGCTGGACAGGCCTGGGGAGAGTAAGTCTCCATTCTCATCTTGCTTGATGCCCTGCAGGCCCTGCAGGTTACAGCCCTTCAGCCTTTAGGCCCAGCATGAGAAAGTTGTTCCTAATTTTAGAGGGTCCCCCAAATTCAGTCTGTTTCAAGAGGCTTGTTTATATGGGACAGTCTCTTCACAGTTTTATCAGTCTTTGCTTAGAACTTATGAAGAAGTTGTGTCCTCTGTAAGCCTAAGGTTGGGGGAAGGCTAATCAGACTCTTGTTCCATGTTTGAAGGTCATTTACCCGTGGGAACTTCTTAGATAATTAAGGGTTGATGGAGGATGCTTGACTGTGTTTCATATAAATTCAGTAGTTTGGCCAGCACATCCAAGCGTCTTAGTAGGCCTGGTTGGTTGTAGCACCTAACAATTTCAAGATTCAGCTAGTAAATCACAATGTATGTGAAAGAGCTAGAGAAGAGGTCTAAGGCATATCCAAGTGTGTTTTTGTGGAATTTACCCAATTCATTGAAATTCCAAGAAAGGGAAAGGTCACTGGAATGGTTTATTAAAATATTATATTTTTGTGAATATAATGTTAAGTTGTAACATACATAAATAGTGGCTCTAATTGTTAAAAATTCATCTTTATATTCTTTCATAATCAAATTTATAAATCCTCAACTCAGTAAAAGTAGACCCTGTGTGTGCCCAGCATACATTTTTCTCTAGCACATGAATGGTGATTAGTGTGCCATTTGACTTCTCATTAAATCTGAAGTGACAGCTTTTCAACACTTTTTCTAGTTCATCCCTGCCTTACTTCATGCCTCTAGTTCAACCCTGCCTTACTTCATGCCTCCAGTCTCTGAGCCCTACTGTGTCCTCCAGATCCGTCATCAGAGGCTTCAGAGACAGGAAATCTGTTTCTTTTTGTGTATCTTCAGTATCAGTAGTATTCCTGTGAATCCCATAGACACATAGTGGTATCTACCCCACAACATAAAGGAAAGTTTAGTACCTAAAATCAATAAATGTTAAGTTCATTTACAGGTGTACTGTAAATATGACTATTCTCCAAATTTTAGAAAACCAGCTTACAACGAATTGGAATACAACTTGTTGATGACGTAAGGACACTGGTATTTCCATAGACTGCTACCAAATAGCTCTTTTAAAAAATGAGAAAAGAAACTCCCAAATTGGCACACTTACAGCCCATGTGAACAATTGTGAGTCACAAGAGTTTTAAGACAAGCTAGTAGCAGCCAGCAGGTGTATGGAGACAGTTGTCAGACTGAGCCAGGTGGGCAGGTCCATTTACATAAGTGTTGGAACACAAACTCATTACAGTATAAACAGTCTGCCTGTTTTGTACATAGGCATACTTTAATTTCTGAAAAAGACTTCAGATGTTATCTGTCTAGTCTCACTTTCAATATAAGGAACCTAAAAATTAAGTGGCTGACCTTGATTTTATAATGGTAACAGAACCAGGAATAGAATGGAAGTCCTCTGATCCCTCCAGCTGGGGCTTTTTTTCAAAACCCAGTGCCATGGCTGTATTCTTCTGATGCAGAATATTATCCTGAACTTTAAAATTGGGAAATAATATATTACAATAATTTTTATAACATTATAAAATAGGCCCTTATGCTATGAATAGAGAAAATACATAGATTTGACTATTCCTAATAGCCACTATTGGTCTTTTAAAAGAAGTTTAAATTCGTACCGTGGGTTATTTTCTATTTTAAATGAAAACCAGGTAACACAACTTCTTTGATAAACAATTAGACACCTACAAGACTCACTACAGTATTTTTACCAGGAGAATTTTTCTTTTTTTGTTTATTGTTTAAATATAAATTTGAATATTTGGTTTTTCTCTAAAGAGATTTTATTAACAATTGGATGATTTTTATTGTATTTCAGTCCTAATCTCTTAATTACTATAAAGATCAATGGTTGTATGACTTTGTTTTATAATTTCTTTATATTTGAAAAACCTTTTCCTAAAAAAAGTTATCCCTCACATCTAAGAATTAGGGCTATTTTCTTATTTTCTGATTCTTAGACAGTAATTAGCTAGAACATGGGAATGCAGTTTTCATATTTTAGGGGCCAGGGATACAAGAACAGTAGCAGCAGGTTACTGTGCCTCTCCCTCCAAGTTCTGTCTTTAGAGAAAAAATCTTGGAGGGATCTTAAGGGAACTGTAATGTGGAAAAAGGAGGTTGAAAATAAGGTAATTACAAAGGGATAATTTAGTATAACCTTTACTTGAAGCATGTAATTGTAGTTCCTGGAAAGCACATAATGGTTGAGGGCTGGGGGAAGCAACAGTGCAAATTGGGATCTTTTAGTGTCAGAATGTTTCACCATTCATGGGTTTTTTTGTTGTTACTGTGTTAAGATCTAAAGGGATTTTTATAGGCTTTATTGACTAATGTGGACCTAAAGTCAGGTTTAAATGAGACTTAGGTTTTAGAAAACCTCATTCCCCTTTTGGGAGGGGGGTCAATTAAGCAGTCTAATAAGTACCTTTTCTTGGTAACCTTGGTGATGACATGACCAGGCTAGAGCTGGGCACTCACTTGGGGCAGTTAAATGCTCTCTTACAGTCCTGCCCCTGATTCCACATTACTCTTTTTTTCTCCCTCATTTTTAAAAACTCATTTTATTCATTAGACCTGCGTCCTTGACTGGGTGCTGTCTGCTAAATCACAGGAAAGCTTGCTCATCAGTAATTATCCCATCCAGTATATGTGAATTGAACTAGATTAATTCTTTATTCCTAGGCTGTAATACCTCACACTGCTGAGACTTTGTAAAGGATTAGAAAAATGGGAAGCCAAGAGCGGGGGACTGGTAATGATTGTAGGGTCAGTTTATTCCAAATGCAGGAGGAAAGACTGAGCCTAAGAAGGGGCAGGTAGGGCCGATGACAGAAGGAGCAGCTTCTAGCAGATGTTTTCTGTAGGCAAGGCGCTGTCTGAGTCGCATCCCTTCAGCCTCGAGGCAACTCTTGAGGTGGGCCGTTTTGCCCTTGTTGTGTGTATGAGGAAAACAAGTTTTAGAGAAGTTAACTGACTTGACTATGGTCACATAGTATAAGCAGTAGAGCCAGGTTTCAAAGCCAGGCAATCTGGCTTCAGACATAGGCTCTTAACCACTGAAGTATGTTTAGGATTGGGGAGTTGGGAAAGCAGTGCAGAGCTTGTCAGAGCACCCAGCCACTTGTCTGATGCTACCTTTAATGAATCGGGGCAGTTGTGATAATTGATTATGGAATCAGCTCAGATTTTCTTAAGAAAGAAACATTAAAAATGGAAATCACAGTTGCTTATAGGTTTGCCAGAACCTTTTAACTTTCTTGTGCAGGAAGATCTAAAATGATGCCTCCTGTTTAAATAATATGTAGTGTTTTGTTTTCCAAAAAAGACCTTTCATACTTTATTGTTTAACCCTCACAGTAGCCCTGAAAGGTATTGTGACAGGACAATTATTTTCTCCATTGGAGGGACTAGGAAACTGAGACCCAGAGGTTTAAATGACAAGGTCATTTTAAAACAAAATGAAGATATTTTAACATTTTCTGGAACCCCAAAGAGCCAAAATACCACCAAAGAGATATTTTATATTCTTTTAAAAATATTAAATTTTAGGGGGCTGGGGACATAGCTCAGTTGGAAGAGTGCTTCAGCCTTACATGCACAAGGCCCTGGGTTCGATCCTAGCACTGCAAAAAAAAAAAATCTAAATATTAGAAATCCGGTATGCATTTGGCATGTCTCAATTTAGACTAGCCACATTTCAGTGGTCAATAGCCACATGTGACTGGTGGTTAGTTTTGAACAGTGCAGAAAATTGCTATTAAATTCACTGAGCCCATTCGGGAAAATTCTCATTTTAATAGATCATCCCACAAAAATTTACTTCATAGAAGTAGAGCTCTTATCAGTTCCCTTTCCCCTAATCAGGTGCTGTTGGTTTCTATTACTTACATTCCTTGTTTATATTAAGCCACTGTCCGAGGGACATCTCTTCAGTGCCATTCTCCATAGATGAGAGGCTATTACATGAGGCTGACCATTGTTCTGGTGGCAACATTGAAGAGTTTTTCCAAAGGAATTGCTGGCACATGACCTTTATGTTGTGAGACTTAGAGGAGCATCACTGTATGTCTTGGACTTTAACAATGTGGTCATGGTTTTTATGTCCTGCAATTTAGTTTCCTTTGGAAGAGACTAGTTTAGGTTTTTTTTTGTTTGTTTGTTTTTTAAGTTTTTGACATGCAATACAATTTTTATACTAATTCTTTAGCTTCAGAAAATTATGTATCATATTATTTGACATGATACTTCTAATACTTAAAAGTGTTCTTACTAAATTCTAAGAATATTTGTTTTTTCCTATTGTCAGGTTTTAAAGAATGACTTTTCCCAGAAATAAATCAGGTGTTGTCAAGCTAGTTGACTGATCTTTTGAAATTGTCCTCTCATCAGTTTTTTTCCTTTTAATTTTTATTCATAGATCAAAAGATGGGCCTCCATTATTTTATGAATCTGTGATGTTTTAAAACTTCATAAAGCACTTCAGTGTCTAGGGTCAGCCCCCAGGGAAAGATTAATATTTAGTGTGGCTTCAATATTAGAATAATTATTACAGTTTTTACCATATATATATCAATAATGATATTAATTAAAATGGAATTTTTGGTAATTTAATAATTTAATATGACTAAGCAAAATGAATTGCCATGCCCCATGACTAGCTTGTCTTCATTTAGAAATCATTCCTGGCTATCGAGTTACCAATTACTCAGTCTTTCCTCATCTGCCTGCCTGTTCTTGTGTCTCCTATACAGTTGGTCTTACGAAAAGGTTGATTTTTGCCTGGGACCCTCTGTCTACAGTTCTGGAGGCTCTTGGAAGTTTGGGCTAGGCACCCAGAGGCAACCTGCTCTCCCTCCTTAGTCCTGGTGTAGGAGCAGGGTTAGAAAGTAGTGAGAGCAGAGTTCATGTCAGTTCATCTTCTGATCACAGTAATTTTAGTGAATTGTCAGATGTGTCAGAAGTGACATTAGTTTTTGAAGATTTTCCCACTCACAAATAACTTAAAAGTTGACTGTGTTTAACTGTAATTGTAACTTACCCTGCAGGGATTAAATTTATTACTAGTTTGGCCAAAGTGATTATATGCAGCTTTTCTTAAAACTTAATTTGTCTTTTATCATTTGTAACAAATTTTGAAGCCATTTAAACATGCAGAGGTCTATTAAATCCATTATGTGAGAAGGTGAAAATTACATAAAAATCATTTTTAAACAAAATGATGAGAAAAGTGCAGCTCCCATTTTAAAAATTAAATATGGTAATACAATGTTGTCTATGCTTTATGTGTAAAGAAATGTTACTTTTTTTTTTCCTTTTTTTTTTTTAATGAACATAGTATCAGGGACAATGGGGCACATCTATGGGAAAAGCATGCTTTCTTTGCATATCTTTTCCCGTGCAATTCATCTAAGTGACAAATTCCTTTTTTAAATAAAAGTGTATATGTTTTATATAACTAATATATGAGCATTTTATCATAACAATCCATTTCTTTCAGTTTCATATTTACATTGTTTTTTGTTTGTTTGTTTTTATTTTAGGCCACTGAACAAAAAATCAAAGGTACGTTTAAAGCTATTTTTTTATTCTCCCCCCTGACCCCCACTAAAGCAAGATTGTTGATATGCATTTTTATTCACCTCCAGGATGGGAGAGAAGAGTGAAAAAAACAGGGGTGGGAACAGACTTCTTCAGTGACTTTACTGTGGAGTCATCCTTTGGGTTTTATGCTTTATCGTGGTGTATATTACCACTTTTAGAATGTACTACCATTTAAGCTGTCTCTTAGATGAACACTGCTTTGGAACATACTCCCTTGTTCTGGGTCTTTGGCCACATGTAGTTTTCCTTAAGTCTTCCATCTAAAGGTCTTTGGGATGGAGCTACCTCTAGGATCCCACTCCATCCCTTGGGGTTCTGCCTGCTTTATTCCTTGTTCTCTGTATAATGTTGCCCCCTACTCCTTCTAGAAGACACAGTAGTGACATTCATCTCTACATTAACACAATAATATTGCTAACCTTATGGTCGTTGAACCAGGTCCAGCAGCACCCAGTACACCCTAAGCAGAAGACATGAGGGTGAGAAGGAAACAGGAGCCTAATTCCTCAGACCCTGAATCAGGAGTCCTCCACCCTCCCAGAAGCTGACTGCTTGGTGATGAAAGGTGTAAGGCTCACAGAGACTGAACTTGTTAGACCTCAGTGTTATCAATTGTCATCTTTAGCTGTATCAGAAATGTGGTCTCTGCATTTCATTAGTATATTCATTCACAGTATTGCCTGTCTTTATTTGAGGTCAACGTTAGTTAAGGTAATATTTATTGGGTGCAATTGTATAAGAGTGAATAAAAACAAATGTAGCTTATACTTTACTGGAGAAAGGGTACAGTGTACAGTCATAGTTAAGTGTATAATATGATTTGGCTAAAGAATCAAGTTATCCAGAAGCACAGAGTAGTGATAATTAACCTAACACAAGGGTTAAAGCAGATCTCCTTGAGATTAGGAATCTCATAATATGAACTGGCTAGTCACAATAAAATGACAAAGGGATCAGCATCATTCAGACGACTGAGAAAAAAATACTATGATGTTATATGCAGTGGTAGTACTCCTGGAGAATTAACTACCTAGCAGGTAGTCAGGAGAGTTGAGGGTGAAGAGACAGATAGGGGTCAGGTCAAAGAAGGCCTCGAACACCGTTTATATTGTGTTAGCTTTTTGTCAGTGTAATAAAATACCAACTTAAAGGAGGAAAGAGTTACCTTGCCTTATGGTTTCAGTCCATGGTTAGCTGCTCTGATGCACTGTTGGGCAGGACATCGTGATGGAAGGGTGTGACAGAGGAAAGGTGCTCAACTCTGGCAACCAAGAAACAGAGTTGGGTCGGGGAGAGGGAGGAGACGTTCGAGGATGAGGGGATCAGGGACAAGACAGACTTCACATGTGTACTTCCAGTGGCCTACTTCCTAATTGGGCCCCACCTCCAAATAGCCTGTTCACCTGTCAGTAGGTAAGGATTTAAAAGAGAGAGCTGAGAGAAGAAATGCATTCTGGGCAGAAGAGGGAGGTGGAAAAGACCATGCAGTTTGAGTCTCTAACATAGAGGTATCCAGGGCAGTGACAGCACGTAGGCCTGGAGGTGGCAGGGATCCATGGGCTTGATGCTGCTCAAGGAGCAGAGAACCAGCAGAGGTGTTTGCATCGAGAGTGTCGTGATCATAAGCTGTTCTTTAGGAATGTCTTTGTCAGTAGTTCCCAGTTTCACCAATAGAAATAAGAACAGAGAGGGAAGACTAGGAATAGAGAGGGCAGTGTGGGCTTGAACTGGGATCTTGGCAGTGGGAGTAAAAGGTGGTTGAGAGATGTGTGAAGTGTGACTGACAGAATTGGCAGCTGTTGACATCAGGAGAGGAATTACAGCTCAGACTGCGACTTTGAATCCAGATGTTTAAGGGATAGAGAATACAGGGAGGAACGTTGCCAAATTAATTTTTCTAAAATTCCACTTTCCTCAGCCCATCTGCCCGTTTTGGAATATTAATTTGTCCTTAGTTTTTCCTGCTTCAACACCAAACCGCCCTGCATGGCTTTAAGGGCTTCTTTTGATCTGAACTCCTGTGGTCTAAACCTGTTTCTCTACCACTCCTTTGTACTTTTCAGAGTATTTTTAATCTCCTTGATGTTTATTCTTGTTTTCTTTTTGATTCAGTTTCTCAAGCAAGGATGTCTTCATCATGCCTTTTAGGTTTTCTGAACCTCTAAGTTCATCTCCTAATGGGTCACTCCACCCACCATTGATCTTTCCCTCTCCAGTTTCTTAGTGTCTTATGACACATCTTAAATTGGGCACTTGACTGTATCCTATCTTAGACTGTTGGCTGACCCATGTATATCTGTTTCTCCAGCATAATTTTTGAGTAGCTACTGTTTATATCTTTCCAAATATAAAGCATCCTTTTACATCCTTACATAAAATCTGAACAATATTCAGGTCTTCTTGTTTTTAGATTCTCCACAACTCTGAGAATGTTGGGCTGAGTATATGAAAGTCACTTGCAAATTCATCATGTTGTTTTGCTCCCTTCATAATTAGTCACTTTTTTTTTAATTCATAAAAATGTGTTGTTTTATTTTTGTGCTGTGTTTGTGTCTATGTGATGTCTATGGGTTTTGGCCCACACAGTGCTGCTGTTTTTGATATAAATACACATAGAGAAATGAATACTACAGTCAAGCAAGATAACAGATTCATCATCCCACATAGTTGTCTGTATATATTTTTGTTGTTAAGAGAACCTGAAATTATGTTTTAGCAAATTTCCAGCGTATATCATAAGATTGTTAGCACTGGTCCCTGGACTGTATGATAGCTGCACGCTTGTTTATCCAAGGAACCGCAGCTTCGTGCCCTCGGCTTGCATCTCCCCGTGCCCCCGTCCTGCCCATGGTCACACCTGTTCTGCTCTCGATTCTAAATGTCCTTCAGGTCCATCCCTGTTGTCGCAAATAGCAAGATCTTTTTTTTAATGGTGAAAAAGATTCCGCTGTATGAGTACGCCACAGTTTCTCTTAATTGTCAACAGACCCCAGGTTGCTCCCTACTGTGGCTCCTGGGAGAAATGCTGCAGTGAGCTGGGAGCACAGGTGCTTCCATAAGGTGCCGGTTCACTTCACTTTCTTTGGTGGATGTCCAGAAGAGGGACTGCTAGGTCAGAGGGTGGTTCTATTTTTTATTTTTATTTATTTATTTAAGGGTGGTACTTGGGATTTAACCCAGGAACACTTTACCACTGAACTGGATCCTAAACTCTTCATTTTTTAAGACAGGGTCGAAGTTGCTGTGACTGGCCTTGAACTTGTGATCCTGCCGTCTGTGCCTCCTGAATTGCTGGGATTACTAGTGTGTACCACTGCACCTGGCTGTTTTTTAATTTTTTGAGAGCCAGTTAGATCTTAAGTTTCTTAGTGACAAAGCCTGGTCACCTCAGACTCTGAGATGCTCCTCCCTGCAGAGTACCCATAACCTGATGTTACACAGGTGGGAGGGTCTCCTGTTAGAACTGGGGTTTAGTTCAGTGTTTTTGTCTACTGTCTGCATAGTAGAAATCATGTTGTTTGTGTTGTAGGCTGGTATTCAGTGATATTAGTTAGACTAGGGTTTGATCCCTAATATGCCGTGATAGTACTTTGACTTTATGAGATAATTTAAAGACAAACTTGTATTGCTTATTTTTTTTTTTTAAATGGAAGCAGAGGTTATGACTAACTAGGGCTTTACTAATAACAGATGTTTTTCTTCCTGTAGAAGTTGTCTTTGAGGTATGAAACAAATAATATTTATAGCCCTATACTAACATGATGGGGGAAAATATCCTTCTACTTCCATGGGAAATAGTCAGTGAAATTATTATTTTTAGGTACATCAAAGTCACCATTTTCCTTTCCTCTTAATTAAGAAAAGACAATACATAGATTTATACATGTAAATCTAGTTTTGTGTACTGAATAAGGTTGTGGAAAATGCTGAGGATTCCTTTTAGCTTTAGACAAAAATCTTTGTTTCTAGCAAATGTACATGGTTTTGCTTATAATACTACTAGATTTAAAATTGGTAGAAATGAAAGATTTCATACTTCAGCTGTCTGGGTTAAGACTGAGCAAGACAAAGCAGCAGGAAGTAAAAAGAGAAAGACAAAGTAGTTAAGTCGTAAACTGTTCATAACTTTCTCCTTAGGGTTAGGGACTAAGGGTAAAGAGCCCACGGTAATTAGAAATCTGTGGGAGTCTGAGGAATTGTGTCCTGGGCTGAGATGCTACATTGGCAATCATTAGGTCTTCCCTTGTTTCAAAGAAAACAAATTGGGAGTCTTCTGGTTCCAATTTTAGTAGAGAATCCAGGATGGATTAGCAAGAGTTAGAAGTAGCCTTTTCAGTTACAATCAATTTTACAAATCCTTTAGGCTAGGACAAAATACTAAACCATAATTTGTTTATCTGTGTTTGGTTTGTATTTTTGTATTCTTTTAATTCTAATGAAAGTATGGTCTATCTCTCAAAATGAGAAAAAGTATGCCACGGGAGTCTTTTCCCAGTGTAGTAACCATAGGAGAATGTATTTGATGAAACACAGCCTAGAGACAGCAGATTCGGCTGGAGACATAAGACACTGAATCAACCACTAAAGATAATCCTGGAATTTTAACACAAACAAGTTATAATTGTTAGAAGTCCAGGCTTCTGAGTTAGATAGACTTGAGTTTGTTAGCTTTTCAGTGCTTATTTCTGTGTCTTGGGCAAGTTCCTTAACTTTTAAATTCAGTTTGTCTCTCTTAAAAGGAGATGATTCAGACCATCTAAATGTTTGGGGAATGAAATGACATCTAGAAAAAATAAATCATAGGCCTGGAGTGTGTAATAGATATCTCATTTTTATATATACTGATAGAAATTCTTGAATTGCTGCTTTCAGGCAGCAGCATTTGGGGTAAAATCTACAGCTAAGGCTGGCCCAGTGGAAAATGAACAACACATAGACCTTGGTTGCATTCTGTCCCACTA